TGTCTACTGGTCACAGACAGCAGTGGACCCAGAATTCCACAGTGAGCAGGGCACAGAGCAGGCACTTAATTAAACTTAATTAAAGTTTGATGAATTTGTCCAGACCTTTACAAGTTAGGGACACATACTACTCAGCAAAACATGGCCCAAAGTAGCACAGGGGACTCTGCTGCAGGAAACATTTTGATGACCAATTGTCTGCAATGTTTACGAACTTGTTTCATGCAATTTTATAGGCAGAATATTCCCAATGGCTCAGAGGCAGCGGGTAGACATTATTATTTTTATTTTTGATGGTGAGTCCAAAAATGCTGACAAATAAACAAAACTCCATTTTTACATTAAAAAAAAAGTTTATAAAATGCAGATTGTGCACCTGACCTTCAGATTCGGAATGTTCTATGTCTATTCTCGTCATCTGGAATTCACTAACTCATGTTCTAGCAAATGCCATTAGTGGATTCCAAATTGTCAGTGGTTCTAAAAGTTAGATGTGCATAGAAGCACCCTGGAGGCTTGTTAAAACATGAGATACCTGAATTCTATCCATATAGATTCTGATTCTGTAGGCTTGATGCTTCTTTCCCATGAACTTTTCTTGGCATTTGTAAGTTCAGGAATTTGCAATTTCGATTCAGTGACTTGATAAAAGATTCCTCTGATATGGACAGCAAATGACAGAGGCAAATAAACACTTCCTTTTTGTATTAACCATCAAGGGACTTTTCCATAATAAGGTCCTCAGGTGATGCGGATGTGTCTCAGAGTCTGAGAACCACCATACGCAATATGAAACACAAAGTGTAGACGCTTTTATATTTCAGGGACGTTAAGGGACAATCAAGCTATCACTTAAGGGAGCTTGCTAAAATGCAGATGCTGATTCCCTTGGTTTGGGGTGGCCTCTGAGATGCTGCTTTTCTGACATTCTCTACAATGCTGATGCTGCTGGGTCATAGAACACACACAGAGTGGCAAGGAATAAACACACAGGCAGGGCAGGGAGGGGCTCCCAAACACTGGGGTCAAATCCTGGCTCCACCACTTTACCAGCTTTGTGATGCCAGGTTGGTTATTTAGCCTCTCTGGTTCATTTATTTTATCTATGACATGAGGGTGGGTATGTAGGAGGGAATTGATCTGAGTAGCACTTTGAGAATTAAGTTTCCCAGTGAATAAGGATTGAAAGGTAAGAATTTACCATAGCACCGATCACATAGTGAGGGTCTAAGGAACAGTAGCCCCTACCTTTAGAAATTTATCCAATGTTTCATTTCAGGATTTGGACTTCTAGTTTGGCATAAAGCTGTCAGGATGACTATTTTTGGCATGCTGACTGCATGACTTGCTGCATTGCTGAGCAAAGTTATAGCTTAACCTCAACTATGTTTACCATGAATGGGCCGAAGCTGAGCACACTAAGGCATCAAAGACTGCACTCCTTACTCAGATTATGGATGATCATGAACTGCTCCCTTTGCACTGGTCTACAGATTTCAGGGGTCAGAATGAGCGCTGGCCAGTTCTCCATGGTGGTTGCTATTTCCAGTTCATGTTTATGAAATACATATAATTTTAAGGCTTTACCACGAGAAGGCCATCCTTCTGTGGTCAATTTTTAGAGTCACATTTATGCTCTTATTACAAGTCAGTGTTCTGGGCTCTGACTCCCTGGGGTTCCCATGGCTTGCTCCTGGGACAACCAGAGCTATCACAATGGTCAAATCTGCTGACTATGGAATTCCAACCTAGCAGATGTGGCTTCTTGGACCTTCATGCCAAGGGTTTGATTGGGTTTGGGGGTGGTTGTAACAGAATCTGGCTGCACTGAAAGGAATGCTTCTTGCTGTGGGTTGTCTGCTTTAAATATTCTGAATGTTCTGGAATAATGTGCTAGGATAGCCACAATTTGAGAGTGGAGTCTGTCACCAAGAGAGCCAATGACCAATACTCTAGCAATCTTCAGTGCTCAAGGGGATGGTCATGTTAAAATGTGTCCAGAAATTTTAGATCAACACATAGAAGTGGTCTAAACAGCAGAATGATATTCAAACAGTAAACTTCTGTGCTCAGGAATGACACCTTCTGCGCCTTGCTCCATTTTCTCTAGCCCAGATTTCCTCTTTAAGTATTACATGCATCCTAGTCTTTGCTCTGGGGGCCCGAGACTGTTCCTGTAATTAGACAAGCAGAGCGACTTCTTAAAGGCATGCATATTCTTTCATTAAAGACTTACTGTCTTTAAAGTCTTACTGTCATTTTTTTTTTGTCATTTTTAAACTATCACCCAGAGCTAGGGGGTTTTTATTTTTTAAGTTCTTTATAATTTGCTACATAGTTTCATGGATATGAATTAAGTCCAAATTTTTTTTTTTCTGCCCCCACCTCCCCAGTTTGGCATCAATTTACAGAATTCGGAGACACAGAACAGGGACCTAGGAAAAAAAATCCTCTGATATGAACAGACAATGTGGTCAAGCAGATGGATTCTCTCACCTCCTATCTATGAAGCTTCAGAGCCAACCGAGGGCTGCTAAGCCCTTCCTTATACATCAGAAGAGGACTCCTGTTCCCCAGAGGAGGCACAGAATTCCTCTTCTTGGATTTCCTGCTGTGTGGTGAGGAGTCTGCTGGCTCTGGCCCAGCAGCACTGTGCTTGAGAGCCTTAGATTGCCCCATCTGGGATTTTAACTGGGGGGCTTCTGAGATAAGAACCACCTGGCTAGGCTTGAGAGCAGCCTTGGCGGAGGAGCTGCTGCTGCTGGGCCACCTGAACAGACGTGGTGGGCTTGAAAGAAGGGAGTTGTGTGGTTGGAGATAAGAAAAGATATTTCATCTCAGCAAAGATCTTCATTTGAGGAAACCATGAGTCCCCAAGCACAAGTTTAAAAAAAAAAAAGAAATAGCAGAACTGATAATATGGCTGTATCAGCTTGGAATAAAGCATACCTGTGTGGAATCCCATTCCCAAGTCCAATCACAGAAGGAAGTGGGGGAACAGAGGGGATAAAGAGTGGGCTCCCCAGCAAGGCTGGACCACTGGGGAGGGAAGGGAAGTTCTTTAGGTCACGTGAAACTTTGCAGCAGGTGGGTTCTCAATTCTGAGATTTAGTCAAACCAAAAGATTGTACAATATAGAGAAAACGGCTATTTCTCACTTGAGTGATAGTCATTTAATTAACACACTTAGACTGGACACTCAGCTGAAGAATTTCATGGCAGTTTGAAATGAAGTTTAAATGCACACAGAAGAGCAAGATTCCATGGTCTTTTTCCTTCCTATAGTGATTCTTTTCAAGATAACCATTTTGGAAGCCCAGAGCTTTGCCAGCTAAAACAACGACCTGCCATCCTTAAAAGTATGTTACAATTTGTGGCTGTGTACCCAAGATTTGACATGGAGTGGTGTTCTATTTCAACCCAATTTAATTATATGCTCTTTTTATATATCGTAGATGGCTCACACTAGCAGAATTGTTTTGCCTGGTGAAAAGCTGGCCATGACTTGTCATAATGGGCTGGTTTATAGAACCACTGAAGTATAGTTACTGCCCATCATCCGGGAATTATGGCACCATAACAACCCTTTATTTACATATACTGCTGAGACAGTAAAAACAGCAAATAGATTTCTTAAATCGAGACGGCAGAAATTTCCCCCCAGGGTACTTGGCCCTCATTGTGGCAGTAACATATGCAAGTCTAAACAACTTTGGTGTCTGTATTTCAGCAGTGCATCATTTCATGGACAGTTTATAACAATCTAATAATAAAATGGACTCTAAATTTGGAGTTGGGCTTCATGAACATGAGATGGTAATGCACACAGCAGAATCTCTAAGTGATTTGTGAGGAAGGCTTAAATTCGCTAATCACAGGACTGCTGAGCCGCTATGCACAGGGGCTGACGTGGAGTCAGTGGTCAGGACTGTTGGGAAGAACGAGCCTTCAATCAGGAGCATGCCTGACCTAGTTTACATTAACATCCACGCTGCATCTGGGCAAACTCAGGGCTGCTTTTATCTTTCCACTCCCAGGACTTAAATAATCTTGGCTTTCCCCTCAAACAATAGAAACCCTCTATAAATTTGTTTTGGGGGGGGTGGGGAAGGAGTTACTCCTTTCTTTTTCATGATGTACCTTTCAGTGGAAACCTACAGGTAGCGTGTCATGCCCTCACTGACTATTATTGTCCTGAGATTTCATTTAAGTTCCTTTTCCTTATTCTTGACTTCCTACTCCTTTGTAGAGCTGCCAGTAGACTTACTTTTACTACACACGTTTCAAAAGGTTGCTTGCAGGCGTCTCCACTCTACGTCTATTCCTGGGGTGGTAGGTTCACCATCACCCCTGTTAGCTTTGAGTAAACTGTGTCTGTACCAGGTTAGCAATTCCAATTGGGGGAAGGATTATGCGGACATTCCGACTCAGACTGTTGTCATTCTTCAGTGACATGCAGCTGGCACATGGGGGCACATATACAGGGACTTCAAAAAGTTTGTGGAAAATGGAATTAAGGTTATTTTGGTGCAAAATTTTTTTTAAAATCCATGTATACGAGGATTGCAAAAGTTCATGAAAAGTGGGTATTATGGAAACTGCGTGGATTTCAACATTTTTTCACCAAAATAAACATACCTAAGTCCATTATTTCCACAAGCTTTTTGAAATACACTTGTATTTAAAAGGAGATTCTATTCATGCAAGCTGCTGAGGCCCAGAAGGGTGTGAGTTGGCCATCTCTGATCTATGGCCACCACACTGCACCTATGGTATGCTACAGTTGGCTAAACTGGCCACTCCTGAGGTGGCAAGCTGAGACTTCTGCAAAGCAAATTGGCAAACTCCCGGAGCAGCCTTGTGAATATCGCATTCTGGGAGAGCCTTTGAGTTGTGGCTGTGAGGATAGGACCTTCTGCAGGTGTGTTGCACACCAGCCCCCTCTCCCCGACCGCCCTCCCCTGCACCGCTCAAGATGCCCAAGGCTCAAGCACACTCACCACCGGAAGGCAGGCCGGCACAGGTGCCACCATGCTGGCATGGGCTCCGCTCACAGGCATCCGGGTAGAGCACGCAGCCCAGCTTCAGCTCCGTCAGGCCCACCACCTCTGCGAAACTGCTGCGTTTGTTCTGTAGCGGCAGCTCATTGTTATTCAGCACCACTGAGTCCAGGCAGCCCTGGAAGCCACTGAGCACCTGCGTGACCCGCGTGTCTGTCAGGCTGCGGATGTTGTCCGCCTGCACCAGGGCACCGAAGTAGATGACACTCTCGGTGCTCAGCGTCTGGAAGTAGAGGGGCGCCCTGCGCCGCTCCACATAGCTGTCATCCAGGGACAGGCTGGTGAAATTGCGGTTGAGCTCCAGGAAGACGGAGTGCCAGCTCCCATCGTTGACAGCACGGCCCGAGATGCCCAAGATGCCAGGGCCGCTGCCACAGTCCAGCTGGAACCACAGCTTGCCATCCACAATCTGCATGGGGAAGGAACAAGGGATCGTTTGAAGATGGGCCTCCGGCAACACCTCTATATTCCCCACCAGCCTGTTCCAAAGACTCCGGGAGCTTCATCGGAGGTGGACACTGCTTTTATGCAGCCGTAGATCTTCTCTGGTTGATTTTTAACACCCCCTGCCCATTAGCTGTCATGCAAGTGTGTGCCAGATATTTTACAAATGAGTAATATGAGCATGCTTCAGAAACCCACAATTCTATTTCACGTTGTTCCTATCCTTTGGGTCTTCAGCCTTTTAAAATCCACAGCAGTATTGTGTGTAGTGGTATTTATTCTCTGGGTCCTTCTTACTCATTCTCACCACAGGAGTGATTTTTGCTAACTCAATATTTATTGAACAGCTATGTGCTAAGCAGCGTGCAGGGTACTGTAGAGACCACACAACTACAGCACCACAGTGTAGCTGGCATATACTTCAAGTAACCACACAGACACATATGCACTCCCAGAATATGCAATGTGAGTGTGCTACAGGGAGAAAGAGACCAGGTAGAGAGAAAGACTTCCTGTTTCTCAGCTTCATATACAGTCACATATCACTTATCCACAGGGATACATCCTTAGGGGATTTCATCATGGGGTGGACACTGTAGAGTGTGCTTACACGGACTGAGGCAGCTACAATGTCACCAGGGGGCATAATCTTATGGGACCACTATTGTCTGTGTGGTTTGTTGCTGACCACATGTCGTCATGTTCTAGTGCATGGCTGTATACTTAAGATTTTGAAGCATCTCTATATCAAACACCCATGTGTTCTTAATCCTTTAAGATGCTGCTCAGCACTTACTTAATGGTTGTCTCACAAAATGGTTGGCCATTTGCTTAGCATTTACATACGCAGACTTTCAGCCCTCTGTATCGGCAGGCTCTGGCCTGCCTGATGGATTCAAACACACTCAGATGAGAAATACATTTAAAAAAAAAAAAAAAACTGCATCTGTACTGTTCATGCACAGACATTGTTCTTGCTATAATCCTCTCAATAATCCAGTATAGCAACTATTTACCTGGCATTTGCCTCATACTAATCATTGTAAGTAATCGAGTGATCATTTAAAGTATATTGGAGGGTAGTGTAGGTTGCATGCAAATACCGTGACATTTTTATAAAACGAACTTGAGCAACCACAGATTTTGGTGTCTGTGAGGGTTCCTGAAATTCCCTGGAGGACACTGAGGGACAGCTGTGCAAAGGTACTTCAAAAATTCATGGGAAATGGAATGAAAAGGTAAGTTTATTTTGGTGTAAACTCTTTTTTTCCTGAAAATCATGCATATGAGGATTCTTCCAAAGATTCATGAAAAATGATATTTTTGAAAAAAAAAACTGCTTGAATTGAATTTCTTGGTACCAAGATAAGCTTATCGTCAATTCCACTTTCCACAAATTTTTGAAGTACCCTTGTATTTAAGGCTCTTGGGTTCTACAGAAGAATCTACTGGTTAGCTGCTCACATCATGTAGATCCTTGTAGCTTCAGGCCCCGAGTTCTGCAATGGAGCCCTGCCTGCTTCCTCAGTGACACCAGCCTGCCATCCACAGTCTGCATGGGGAAGGAATACTTAGGGCAGTAGGGGCAAAGAACTGCCCCACAGTGGGCTAACTCCAGGGTACATTATACAGAAAAAATGAAATCTAAAGGATACTCGCTAGCACAGAGGTGCTAGGCAGGGCCTGGACTTTCACAAAGACCTGAGTTTTTCTGTTGCTGAGGAGATGGGCTGGCCACTGAGTCTCTGTAGTCCACCCTTGTCTACATTTCTCAGAAATGCAAGGTGGCTCTAGGATCCTGAGAATGAGAACTTTTAGCTTGCCAACACATTTATATTTGGCTATGAAGAGATTCATAGCCATGAATTGTGAGGCAAAAACTTGTTTTCTGGCCTTTATCTATGATCCAGCAAGAGGATCCCATGAGGGGCAGGGTCGGAGTCCTGCAAGGGGGTGGGGTTGGCCTTCGTTGATCTGTAGGCAGTGGTAGTTCTGTACAGAGAGCAGACACTTTTTGGGAGACAAAAAAAGAAAAAAAAAGAAGAGGAAGCAAAATGAGAGGACAACACAGACCTGTAGGTCACTAACAGCCGAGGCTGCATAAATATCAAAGGAATTCACAGAAATAGGCTGGACCAGTCTTTCCAAAATGTTTCCCTGCTAATAGACTGGTTAGCAAGCATTACAGAACCAGTTATGCTTCCCAATTAAGTATTTCTCTATTCTCCACAGACAACAGTTTCTTAGGGTCTGTTGTGTACCACCCAGGTCACCTGAGAAGGATGGCTCTGCTGCAGTTTGCTTGTTTATTTATTTATTTATTTTTGACAGGCAGAGTGGACAGTGAGAGAGAGAGACAGAGAGAAAGGTCTTCCTTTTACCGTTTGTTCACCCTCGAATGGCTGCCACGGCCGGCGCACCACGCTAATGCAAAGCCAGGAGCCAGGTGCTTCTCCTGGTCTCCCATGCGGGTGCAGGGCCCAAGGGCCTGGGCCATCCTCCACTGCACTCCCGGGCCACAGCAGAAAGCTGGACTGGAAGAGGGGCAACTGGGACAGAATCCGGTGCCCCGACCGGGACTAGAACCTGGTGTGCCAGCGCCTCAGGCAGAGGATTAGCCTATTGAGCTGTGGCGCCGGCCAGCTGTAGTTTATTTATAAGGGTACTGTATCCACTACAGAATAGTCAGCTACATCATATACACCCTGTGCCTACAGACTCTACTCTGCAGTGTAAATGTACGAATATAAAAGGGCTGGACACAAATATTTTCTTTCCCGAGTTTTCACATGTAATCTTATGCTATTGCTCATTCATTCATTCAAACAAAATGGGCTGCATAGATACTGTAAATCATACCAATGACAACACCTGGATGATATCCATATTTGTATTTTAGTGTAAGTAATAAAATGATCAAATGTGACTTTGGAGACTACTTTCCTCTGGTGCAGTCCATCTGCTGCTTTGCTCCGGGGCTGCAAAATAGTGTCCCCAGTCTATAATGGAAAAATCTGGTGGTGAGGGTGCAATCCATGTAAGTTTGTGTAACTGGCCATTCAATTAATATATTACTCCGTCCCCTCCCTCACCCCCTGCTTGTTGGAATAATAGCCAAGTTGTAGATTCATCCAGGAGATTGAGTGACTGCTGTACTCACACATATGGACGTCCTGTAACTGAGAGCTATAAAACTATTCCATGCAAGCACTGAGCACGAGAATCTTTCTTTTTCTGTTGAAAAATAACAGTAGCAACACTGCTGAATGAAGGAAACCAGATGCCTGTGTGATTCTTAGCCTCTTACAAAAATCATCTGAATTCATCATCCTTGTTTATTTGACAAACTAGCATGCTGATGCCAAGAGTTACCTTGTAAAAAGTTGATAATCTTTTGCTATTTCATAGGCGTATTATGTCAGAGAGAGAAAAGAACACTTTATTCTTTTCATATCTAATCTCCTCTCATATGGAATAATATACTCTGATCACATTTAGCTGTTTTTCATCAGAACAGAGTTTACCTAGTTTTAGAAGCTCTCTCTCAGAAGAGAATGAAGCTTTCTCAAATCAGAGGGCAAGCTGTTTTAATACACACCGAGATGAGCCTGAAACAGTAGGCAAAGTCTATAGCAATGGAATGGAAATGATGTGCTGGGGTGGGGTGCAGCTAGGTAATCTGTTCGATGAAATGCATAATTCAGAGAGAACTGCCATAATGTCATAAAATATTTAGGCTCCTCAGGATTGTTTGAGATCAGTGATGTGCTTTAACCTGGATCCTTAGTGGCTTAGGGTTTTGGAAGACAAGAAACAGGAGCACTAAGAAGTCAAATTTGTAGGAAAGTAGAATTTTCAGTAAAGTGTGTAAATTATGGCACAGAGTCTTACTGCTTCGGATCCCTGGTGTGTGGCTGTAGCAAATATAGCTTAATTGTTGAACATGAAAGAGGGTGATTAAGTATTTTTTGGAAAAAAATGACTTTTTAAAAGTCCATTTTCAAGGCTGCCATTAACAACTGTCTGGCACACAGTAAATGCTCAAATAATATGTTGTGAATGAATAAATGAATGGATAAGTGATCATCTCTACATTAACTACTATAGTACCCCCAACCCGCAGGCCCCTGTCACAGACCCACACTACTAACTAGAAACTGCTTTGAGCAAGTCCATGAATCACTCTGAGTCTCAACCTCTCACAGGCAAAAAGCAGACACTCATACCCACGTGGCGCAGGAGTGGCAATCAAAGATCTATGCATGTGAAAGTACTGGGTTAACTATTAGACATTTTATCATTGTTATAAACTGTGAAGCTTATAAGCTAACTCTTCTCAGTGACATGCCTATATAGGTCCTTGCAAGTCTCAAATTTTGGAAAGTTTCTCTCCTACTCTTGTACTTTATGTTGGGGACATGTCCTCATTCCAAATGGGCTGATTTGCAAGCCAAATGAGCTTCCCCTGTCTTCCCTTTTCCACTGGGATCTCAAGCTAGCTGTGTCTAAGAATCATCAGAATGAAGCAATGTGTCACCTATAACTTTCCCAAAAGACAAGACACATGATGCTTCTAGGTGAACAACCAAAATGTTGGAGCCCCAAGACTGACACAGAGAAAAAGCTGGCTCTCTTGTGATTTCTCCTTATATCTTCTGGTGGCCTGCTGTGTTTCTTTGATAGGTGTGAGGAGAGTCACAGAATCTATCCCACTGTTTCTCCTGATGCTTTGGCTCCCAGGAAACTCAGTGCTCTGATTTGTGCCCAACTAAAGTAGTTACCCTGGATCTAGATTTTTCAATAATGATATTCTACTCTTCCCTACTTTATTGGTTAGCCCCTAACCTTTTCTTTACATCATAATAGTGCTTTGATTTTTATTGCATTTGGGTGTTTATGGTAAGTCTAGAATCTCTTTTGGAAGACAAGGTATTAATGGTGAACAGAAAAATGAGTGCCTTTTATTGCAGCTGAGACAATCATACTCTTTACCCATGAGCATTTTCACTTCTCAAGGTCTTCATGCAATTCTTTAAGGGTCTTCAAGGGGTGCCGTTCACCCCACTGATTGTATAAGTACCTTTAAAGTGACTGTTCTTGGACTAGGAAAATATACACAACCAAGAGGTGCAATTTAAACAAAGCACTTCAGCTTAGTCACTGAACCAAAGTACAGGGCACATACTGTACCTAAAGCCAATGAAATTAAATCTTGCATGAGGCCGAAAATGTTAAGCAAACAGATTCAAATCCCCTAAGTGGATATTGCTGGTGACTGTAGGAAAATACCTGCAATAGTTCAGTACAGCTGGGTCCTGCTTTGGGCAAACCCAACATATGAAAAGCAAACTTATAGAACAGAAAGAATTGGGCTGATTATTCATACCACAGACGGATTAATGGAAGGAAGAGTTCCTTCAAATATCAACTACCCCTAGTTTATTAGAATTCCATTTATAGAACTTTATAGAAAATGCAATTTTTCAGAAATATGCTTGTTTCATGAAATACACTTTTGGATCTAGAGCTGCCTAAAAGATTTAATTATTCTTTCCCCCTTTCCCCAGGGATTTGCACATTTTAGGAATTTGCTAGGGAAGTGTCAAATGACAAGCTTCACATTAGGATCAAGCCATCCAGGCCCAATATTTTTGTTCTCTCTCAAAATCAGCACTATGTAAGAGATTTGCGTCTTCAGGATATTGTGTGACCAGCAGCCCTGTTAGAGCTGAAGGAGAAGTGAAGAATATTGTGAGATGCGAGCAGAGCCTCTAGGAGCTGGCTGCTCTGCCTGAGCAGAACACTTCTCCAGCAACTGCACAAACCCTCACATCTCAGAACTGTTCAGAAAGCCATTTCCTGACCCAGAGCAAGATGCTTCAGGAATCAAGTGGGAATGAAGACAGGACTTGGGTTTTTCAATTTTTCTTCTACTCTGAATACATTATTTGAATGCATTGTTCTCAAAACTGCATCTCAAAGTGCTTCCCTTATTTTCTTTTGAAAGCACTGTTTTCCTTCATGGACCCAAAAATCATCATCTGAGTTGAATGGATAAGGAATGTGAGACATTCCCCACCGAAGCAGCCAACTTTCAAACTCCAGCTCCCTTTTTATTCACTCTGGCAACTACCTGGCGGCATCAGAAATGGGTAAGAAAAAGCCTGTGATAATTAAGAGGAGTCACTGGCATTTAATATCCTCCATATTTCTCCACTTTGCCTTCTGCCTTCAGGATTAAAGCCTAGGATACCTCATAAGCCTGCCTGCCACCTATCAAACTGTAAAAGCACAGAAGCTAGGAAGGCTCATGCCAGTCTCCACTAAGCCTGAACCCTGGGAAGAAGCACATTTCCAGCCCTTTCTACTTGGATGGGCACTTTCTACGGAAGAGTGACTGCTTCTGAAGTGCACGTGCCATGGGCTCACATCACAGCCTGGTGAGAAGGGCATCAGGTGAAACAAAGTCTCCCCCTATTAGAAGGACGAACCTGTGTTACAGATACCAAGGATGTGATTTTTGACACAATGAGCTGTAGTGTCAAGACTGAGAGCTGAAGACCGCATGGAGATTAGAGCTCATATTGAAAGACCCTGGGATGTGGGTCCAGGCCTTGCACGTACTAGCTGTGCAACCTTGGGTACGTGACTCAGCTATTCTAAACTGTTGTCTTCTTCTTGATCAAATGTAGATGACAATATATAAGGAATTCATTATATTAACTTTATAATAAAAATAAATGGTACACACAATGCTATTGCTATAACAGCTATTAACAGTAACTCAATTACTGTTGTTGGTTCTGTTTTCATGAATAAAAACACCAAGCTTGTTCTACAGGAAATCTGGCTGCCTTAGGAGGGTTTCTGATGCTGGGAAAATGATTAAAAATTGGGCCACCTGGGTCAGGATAGGATATACGGAATCTTCCATACCTCAGTTCATCAACTTCCTCCCTGAGCAAGTACAAAAGTTGCCTTCAGTGAGGGCAGACACACATGGTGAAAGAGGATAAAGCCAATCCTTTCAAAGGACCACCCCTGTCGAGGAACTGATTAGGAGAAATGTTCTAATGAGCTGTTGAGTGACTATGGAGCCAAGGAGGCCAGCCCTTGAACCTGTTCTAGAGGGAGATGCCCATTCTACCACGAGCCAATTTTGAAGTTCACTCTTCAAAAAGAAGTGGACGTTGGCACTCTTCCCAGCTCTGCCGCTGCTTCCCTTTGCCCTAAAGTTGCTTCTGGTCTTCTGAACTTGAAAGACAAAACAAGTTCAAGAGCTCCCAATCCAAGATCCAAAACATGAACGTGAGAACTGACTGCAAGCAAAGATAACCCATTTTAAGTACCTTCAAAATTATGCAGGGATTTGCTCTTGTGTACATTATAATCCCGTTGCTTTGCAGGGTTCGCAGACGCAGTGCTAGCTTAAAGTCCTCTTCTTTGCTGTTTTCAGAAAGCCGGTACTTGATGTAACTGTTTCCAGCAAAGCTGAGGGAAGTATGCCCTGAAAACACCATTGTAAGAAGATGCTTATATTTTTAACATCCAGAAATGAGCAGAAACACATGAAATCACCCCCCAAACCGCCACCCACCAAGGAAACTGGTTAACCACCACATGGAGTTAATGAAGGTGCTGGGGAGGAACCATTTGTGATTAAATATTGGTTCCCCATTTCACATCAGAGTCTCTGATTTCAAAATATATATATAAAAAAATTTAACCAGTTAACCACCAAAAAATCTTGGTTGTCTTATTCTAAGGGCAACTCGGTAAATTCCGTAACTTAGATTTTCTTAGTGTCACCAAATTCCCAACTCCCAGTTTCCAAAATTTGGGTTATTACGACACCCACTCATGCCTCCCCACTCTCATCACTCAGAAACTCAAGACTTTTATTTCTATGAAACAATGGAAAGGCAATCAATGCATTTTAAAATAAGAATCACATTCCTCAAATATCTAAATGCCACATGGTGAGTTATATCATTTGCAGTAATGTTGTTGCAAGGGAACGCATATAAATGAAACTTTTGTGCAGTCACAATTCCACTCTCTGATATTAAATTTGATGCTCCCTTCCTGGACTCTAGTCCAACCCTATCCCAATTGTGTATTCACTCTCTTTTAAATTTTAACTTGCCACCAACTTTAAGTTTTAACAAGTAAAGTAATGGTTGAAAAGCTGCCCTCCTGGGGTGAAAGGCAGAAAGTGTGGGAATATATCAAGTGGACAATCAAACAGCTTTCTAAAGAAAGGAAAAGGGAGATTGTCAAAAAGTGACATCAGGGGCCAGCGCCGTGGCTGACTTGATTAATCCTCCACCTGCAGTGCCAGCATCCCATATGGGTGCCGGGTTCTAGTCCTGGCTGCTCCTCTTCTGGTCCAGCTCTCTGCTGTGGCCTGGGAGGGCAGTGGAGGATGGCCCAAATGCTTGGGCCCCTGCACCCGCATGGGAGACCAGGAAGAAGCACCTGGCTCCTGGCTTCAGATCGGCGCAGCACTGGCTGTGGTGGCCATTTGGGGAGTGAACCAACAGAGGGAAGACCTTTCTCTCTGTCTCTCTCACTGTCTATAACTCTACCTGTCAAATAAATTAAAAAAAAAAAAAGAAAAGAAAAGAAAGTGAGATTGAGATCAAAATTCAGGAGACTTGGCACATCCACCTGCTGTGTGCATGCATAGTATGAGTATTGGTGTGGCAGTAGCATCATTTTCTTCTAAGTCTAAACTTTAGATGACTTAGGCAAGCATCCTGGTCATCTCTGCACTTCATGGGCTACTCTCTTTTTAAAACCAACTAGGGAAGAGCTTTGGATTCCACTTAAAAATCAATTAATTTATTTATAGGGAGATAGAACACACAAGAGAGCAAGCGAGCAAGTGCACTCCCATCTGCAGGTTTACTCTACAAATACCTGTGATGGCTGGGGCTGGGCTGAAGCTGAAGCAGGAGCTAGCAAACTAATTCAAGTCTCTCTTGGGTGGAAGGACCCCAATTACTTAAACCATCACTGCTGCCTTCCAGGTCAACATTAGCAATAAGCTGGAGGCAGGAGCTGGAGGCAGATATTAAACACCCGCCCCAGCTTCCATTTTTATGAAAAGTGTTTCTCTTTGCAAAGGCTGAATTTTTTAAGCCTAATATGTAGCAAAGTGCTTTGCACATATTAGGCATTATGATTTTTTATTCCCAATATAATTACTATTATTTTCAATCAATAAGTATTTTTTGGATTCCAAAATTGGTATCAGCATCTATATTATAAATATACCCTACAATAAAAAGAGGATTCTATTGGTACTAAAAATGAACAATACTCTTTTTAGTTGAAAGAAGTGGTAGAGAATACGTGATTGAAAAGAAGTGTTGAAATTGATGGTGAGAAAGAGGATCATTTGAATTAAAATAACCTATATGCTTTTTTTTTTTTCTTTCCTTAAGTCAAGAAAAACATGGCTCTTCTTTCTGGAACTTGAGTTATACCTTCCTAGTGGAGACTCAGCTTGCTTGGTGCTCTTGGCTTGGCTTACTCTATGGAAGGTCAACAGGATTGGCTTACTTCCATTCTCTGTTGATCTCTGTTTTGTGGTTATGCATTTGTGCAGCCCCCTGAATATCACAGGCTGTGCCACAGATACTGTGACTTCTTTGTTCAATCAACAGCCTTCTATTTTCCCTTAGGTTCACACCTGTTACACCCACATAACACCACTCAAAACACATGCAGCAGTGCACCATTGTATAAGGAGTCTCTGTCTTTACATTTTCCCTTAGTACAGGCTGTAGCTGTGATAAATCCCAAGTCAGTGTGAGGGTCCATTCTCAAGGAAAGTGCTGCATGCAGACAAAAGTGTTCTCTGGAGGACTTGGGTAGTGTTAATTTACTCAAGGGAAAGTGTTTCAGAAACATAAAATTAGACCCTCATCATTTCACCCCTCTTTGCACCTGAGCATTCTCCGAGCTTTCCTGGTGGACACTGGCAGAGGAAGGGTCTCCTGCTGGCTTCATAACCGACACACTGCATGTCCCCTGGACATGGCTTCTCCACACAAGGATCGTTGGACCCCGGGCACAGTCCTCCTGTGACAAAGGGGGAACACACACAATCAGTACACCAAGGGGTTCTACAGGCTCTGAGTTGAGTAACAAAGAGGCTGCCCCAGAAGGAAAAAGACCTGAATGGGCTTCAGCTGTTGTAGGTGCCCATCAAATACCCCTGTATCTGCCAGAGGCAGGTTAGGTGCAAAGAGTGAACCACGCTCCTCCTGCTAGGCTAAAATAAACCAATTAAACCTGATTCACTTTCAGCTGAAGAAACAGCACTATGCAAGAGCTGTTGTAGTGTTCATTAAAGTAGGGTTCCTGCATCTTTGTGACCATTTGAATGTATCACTTGGATTTATTATTTCTTCTACATCCTCCTCTTGTTCTGAAAAATTTGGGGCTAGACCTCAAGACGTGTTCGCTATTGATTTTAGAGGTAGAAAAATGACGTTTCTAAAGAAAAGTATGACTAAATCTAAGTTGTGAAAACACAATTTTCATTGTCTCCTAATCCCTTCTGCTACACACAGTTTTATTGATTAGCTGTAAACATGCCCTTACAGCTATCAAGAAAGTAGAACTAGCCCTGGCAAAGAAAGGCTTCCTTTCTACCTGCTTGCTGTTCACGGAAAGATGAAAGGTTAATCCCTCAGAAGGAAATCCTGGACAGCAGATTAAATGATTAAGGCAGAATTCAGGACCCAAGTGAATGATGTCAGAATTGTAGTAAGGGTAAATAGGAGTGCATGGATGGAAGCACATTGTTCAAAGGGCCTGGATATGTCAAATGTAATTAGTCCACTTTCAATCTGCTAAGAGTTGAAGTGGTGAAAGGATTATAAAAAAGAGTCACAAATGAAAAATAACCCACAATTGCAACAGTAATTTCCCAAAACAGGTTAGCAGTGGACTAAAGGAGTCTCTTTCTCGTGAAGCCAAAATGTGCTGGATGTCACCAACTCATGTCTTGGCACAGCCAGGCCCATGATCATGCTCCTTTCCATACTAACTCTTTCCTTGTCATTAAGTATGTTGTCCCATGACACAGTCGTTTCTTTGGGAGAAAGTAGAAATGTAATGCTAACTACATATCAATATTTTAAGACCCATAATCCTTGAGAGGAGCAACATAAGTAGCACTAGCAAACTCAGAATTCATAAATCCTATTTTCCACTGGTTTACAGCTCAGTCATGAAACACATTCTTGGCACTAATCCAGCCTACAAAGTCTTGTAAGATGAAGGCATTTTTAGCTGAAAATTTAGAATGATCTCACAAATGGTTCTCTCTAAGACCTAAGTGCCCTGAAATATATCTTCCAGTTTTTCCCCCAAATCTTTATCCTCTGCCATGTATTTATCAATATTTATGGAACTTAAAACAGCTGTGTGACCATCTCATGACCTGTTTCAAGATGGTTTGATAGCCAGTTTTTAAATAACTTTTGGTGCATTTGCTCAACAAATAACTTATTGAATTCATTTAACAATTTTCTTAAAAAAAATCACTGAACACAATAATTCGTCAGGACCAACAAGGTGATAGGCCTGGGCATATAAAGATGAAGGCAATGATAGCTCACAGCTCTTCTTCTGCTCCCCAGGAAATAACATGCAAACACATGACTGCAAAACAAGAAGGTAACTTGCTTTGGCAGATATATAAGAGTAATGGGAGTATCAGAGGAGAAACAATTCTGTCTCCTGGGAGAATATCAGACATCTTCCTAAAGGAAGGGAGTGTTTTAATTCAGGCTTGAAGAGTATGATCTTTTGCATAAGAAAAGAATGAGCCAACCATGGATAGTGGCTTAACCTTACGCATATCTTTAAAGTTTATTCACAATAAGTTCAGGACTCCACCAGTTGACCCTGCTGCCTCCAGCTGTGGCTTCATCTCTGTCTCTGACAGCAGCCTGCACAGTTCTGGGGTGCTCCTGAATGTTGACTGGTAGTATATGCTCAAACATGCAAACTGAGCATGCCGCCACCCTTGGCCACATGGAGGTGGCAATATGCATAAATCACAAAGCCGTAGGTCATCAAGGGAATTTAACTTCTGGATTACACACAGAAACAATAGCCCATGCATTTCAGAAACCTACTACTTTCCATTCCATGGGCAGGCCTCTGTCCTTTCTATTTTAGCCAGCCTAAGGATACCCTCTCTATAAATTTCTGTGTTGCTGAGATCAGTGCTAAATATTATTTTATAGTCTGTTCTGCTATAATGTCATGATTGCATTAAAAAACTTTGCACTGTTGAAATTTCAGTTTTGAAAACAGTTTCAAAGGGGGAAAGAGGACTAGATAATTTCAGACATTTGATAGCAAAGCTTTTATTCCTATGGGAATTGTGGTAATGATTTTTAAAAGAGAGCTATAAGGGCTAGGCACTGAACTTCAGAACAAATACATCATCTGGGTAATTTCCAACTTGCATTCACAAGTTTTAGGCATTTCTTTGACCCTCAGTCCCACCTTGGTAATTAGTACAGGGTTTCTTAATATTTCATCCATAATTCTGACTTTGATGAAAGCACAAAGCCATTTATACCAGCAACTGGAGCTCAAACTCACAGCTCTTTTTCTTATTTCCCGTGTTCTATCTCATGGCAGCCCATATAATTAACTCACAAACACTAACAGGATTATGCTAAGTCCAATCCCCACTCTCAAAACTGTAGCTCAAGGGATATATAAAAATACATGAATACAAATTCTATAAGTATATTCTAGAATAATGTAATTATTAGACATAATATTGGATATTTATATTCATTTCAGCAGCACTGGCTTTGATAGGTTCTTTTTGTTTTTTTTTATAGGCTCTTTAGGGACAAGAGGACAGTTTTTGGCAAAGGATGTGTCTCTTCATGCCTTGAAAATCCTCCAGGGCCTCGTACCCAAGTCCCAGCCTGGGAAATGCTCAGCACAAACATTCCACTCCAGCGTTTTCTCGGCACGCTGGCCCAGTCTCTTGTGGCTCAAAGTGGTATGAACGCAGACGAGAGGCTGCTAGTTGGTGTAAACGCAACACTCCCTTAGCTGGGGACAGAGGTGATCATGTGCATAAACCACAGTCTACTCCCAGTAAAGACTTCTCATTATAGAAAAACAAGTTCCTCAAAACTATCTGCTCCCCATTTCCAATACTACAGTTCTTTCTTCTTTATAAGCAGAAAATGTAGGTCCTTCTACAAATATATGTTGTCAGAAGGGCTCGACCTTTGTATGCCAAACCTGAGCAATGTCATGTGCCCCTTGGCCTCAGAGGTACCTAGGTCTGGGTCCTGGGGACACTTTGCTGGGGGTAATGAACCTCTTTGCAGTCAAAGCCCTTAAGTTCTCAGCTACATAAAATCCAGCTTTCACTAGGTGTTGAGGGGTTAACTTGTTTTCAGAAATCAATGTTTATACCATCACCTTTTCAGGGAAATGCATATGCCTTTTATTGTTGAGAGCCTTAAATATCTTCCCTCTCTGGAGGCAGGCAGTGCCTCATCTACTCTGGAGTATCAGTTAGGAGACAACAGTTTCAACTCCCATTGGCTTCTGGGAGGAAGTTTATCTTATTAACTATCATTAAATAATCCCGGTTTAATGAACTTGTGCTGTGTTTAATGATAGCTTGGGGGGATGGAGGCTCATAGACCTCCATGCTCTGCCACTCCAGGCACCCATCAATTTGATGCCAGAGTGAGCTTGAAGGGAGAAGGGTCCCACTTTATCAAACCAACTGACACCGCTAATCACATGCTGGGGTGGAACCAGGCACTTCTAACTGCTGTCACAATCAAAAGCACCCAGAGCAGACGCGGTTCCCCGTTTACAGATGCCCTTGGGAAGGCAGCAGTATGACAGCAAGGGTGCTGCTTCAACAAGCTGCAGATCTGGGTCTTGGCCTTGGTTGGTTTATTTGCTGTATGGCCTTGAACATACCACTTGGTTTTTGTGTCTGGATTCCTTTTCTGAAAAACTGTGATTATGATTCGTCACAGAACTGTGGAAATTAAGTGTAGAGAAAAAAAAATATATAAAAACAAATTTCTACAAGGTCTCAATACTGGAGATACTCGTTTGATTCAGCAGTATGGCAGAGCCCTGAACTCAAGTGTAATCTTTTTCTTGCTCTCCTTTTGGGGTCATGTTCATGGTTTGTAAGTTGATAGGAAATACTGTTTTCATTGGAGGCATAAAATAAAGCCTGGAGCTTTTTAGTCATCAGCATCACAGGGCACACACAGCCATGTCAGCCTCTTCACCACCTTCTCTGTCTTAGATGTAGGTGTTCTTTCCACATAGCCTCTACACCAGGAGAAATGTGCACACAATATGGCAATTTTCTGAACAGAGGTTCACACAGCTGGAAGTTTAGGTCACTTTCTACAGAATCAACAACATATGATTCACTTTCACTGAAGTTCCAGAGTTGTGGAACACACAGGGAACCTAAGGGGAAATCCTCTTAAGGTTGTATTTATGTATTTTACTCTTTTAATGGGAGAGGGAGAGGGGGAGAAGGGGAGAGGGGGAAGAGGGCAGGAGGAGAAAGGGAGAGGAATGGTAGAGGGAAATTGAAACTACTGGTTCACCCCCAAAATGTCTGGGAGCTAGGAACTCAATCCAGGCTTCCCGTGTTTGTGGTAGGGGACAAATCACTTGCTCCCTCACCTGAAGCCTGCCAGGGTGCTTATCAGCAGGAGGCTGGAATCAGGAGCAGAGCTGAGACTTGGCTCAGGGTCTCCAGTATGGATGTGGGCATCTCAAGTGGCATCTTAACCATTGTGCCAAATGCCTGCTCTGTATGACTTTCACTATCTCTCCAGCATGCCCATGCTCCTTGGATTAAGTCTACGTCTTTAGCCAATATATCAGTATCTAGCTGTGATTACTATGCTGCTATTTAGAGTCAATTTCAGCCTCATGATTTATGTTGATACCTCACTGTATCAACAAGGATGCCTAGAATTAGGTAGGTGACCAGGATGGAGTGGTCCAGGCCAAGGAGACATGAAGGCAAGACGTCCCATAAATGAGTACACAGACCAAGCAGCAACAGATATAGCGACTAGCATTTACTGAGCCAGGACTGATTACTGTGCTCTTTTTCATGTATATATAATTGCATTTAACCTTCACAATAATCCTGAAGAGTAGGTACTATTACCTCCCATGAATAATTAACAAAACCAAGACCTGGAAGATCTGTTACCTTGCTCAAGGTCACACAGATGATAAATGACTGAGCCAGTATCACACCAGTTTTACTCAAAGCACTCCTTAACCACAACACTTTTTATTTCTGCCCAGATTTGGAAGAAGCTTGGAAGTCACCCAATCCATCCTCCCCACAACTGCAGACTTCCTCTTGCTATATTCCTGGCACAGTAATTCAGCCAGGGTTTGAGCACCAGTGCCAGGAGCCCACAAGTCAGCCCTGAGATGAGCTTCTGCCTTATACAGTAGTGCACCAAATCCACCTACTTGTCCTGTCATCCAGCTCTACTCTTTAGAGTCACGCAGAACCTGACCTAAGTCCTCTTGAGATAGCTGATCTTGAGACAGCTGAGGATAGTTGCTATGAGACCTTTGAATCCTCTTTTCTTAGGCAAATACCCGAGGTTTCTTTGCTCCTTGGCTGTAAACAAATACTTGCTGTAAAGAGTTATAGGTAGTATAATTAAGGCACAGAGGAAGCATAAAGGAGGAAGTTATCAGTTCCACTTGGCCGAGTCCAAGAAAGGCATTGGAAGCAATGAAGCTTGTCATAATGGATCTTTGCCAGGCAGGGAAAGCATTTTAAGCAGAGCAGTCAGTAAACAGGAAGGCCCAGAGATGTGGGGTGAACTTTTTCTTGCTCATACACTCAGATGTTAATTGAATGCCATTTTACGTCAGGCCCTAGGAGGACGCTGGAGGTCCATGTTGAAAGAGGCCCAGTGTATCCCCCATCCCCAAGGAGCATGAAACAGCATCATGCATCAGGCTGATGGCAAGGAGCCGGGCTGAGCTGGGCGGTACAGTGAGAGGTCCTTGGGAGGAACACAGTAGCTCAGGAAAACAGAGCCTGCTGGTGGGTGGCTATGGTCATGCACTTCTAATAAGCATAATGAAATAAAATGATGAAGGCTCTGCGAGGCAATAAGAAACCTATAACTTCCCTCTGATGGGTTTTTCTTTTTTTAAGAAGTGGAGAAAACCTGAGACTCATGCTTGTTAATGCTAACTGAGAGAAAAAACCAACAGTATCTACCCCAGTGGTTTGGGATAACCCTCAGTGACATCCCTTGAATCTTAAAAGGTTCCCCCTACAAACTTGGAGGTGCTTATTTTTCATTAGTAGAAATCTCTCTCTCTGTAGATCCCTAATCTCCAGGATGCAGGAGGATGCTTGAATGAAACAGCACTCAGCCCTTAGTGAACCCATAGAGAGAATAAAGTAGAGCCAAGCCAATACCATTCTAGGAGACCCTCTGCTTCTGGGGGACCACGTAAAGCTGAGGCTTCAGGATGAAATGTCATCAGAATTCTTGTAGGCCATGCATGAAGGCGGGGAGTCTATTACTAAGTGGCATTTGCCAAAATAAGAATCTTGGCAAAGCACATGAATTCTGGGTGTGGGATGTTTACCATTGGTAAACATGACAGTGCTCTCCCTCTCTGGGTCAGAGCATGGCTGCTTTCTCATCTCTAGCTGGCACAGTGTCTCACCCTTGGTGAAAACGTCATTCATTTTACTAGGAGCTCCAAGTTCCATTCTGTGTGATGTCTGATGCATCTGGAGTCCATCCCTGCCATCACTCCCATCAACACACTGATCTGGAATTCTGATGGTTTTTTTGGGAGTCCATTCTCCTGGGTAAATGTCCCCTATATGATACATTCATATATCAGACTTTTGAAAAGTCAATGGGAGTTTTCAAACATAGATCAGCACAGTCCCACATGCTGCCACAGCTCCCTTTCCTCCCGCTTCCCCCATAGGTGCTTGAGGCCCTCTATCACTCCCCACTTTTTGAAGTTGGGGTCAGGCTTTCATACTAAAGTGACAAAGTTCATTGAACATCTGAAGCCTACCAGGAGCCATCATCTCATGGCATCAGAACTTTTGTATCTCTTGAAAGTTCCCTTCAAATGTGGTGCCTAACGGTGGCTGGAATTTAATGAGCTTATTTGGCACTAGGAACTCAAGTCTGCTTTCATTTTGTTAGGGCAACTCAGCATTTTAGTTCAAGATGCTAATGATAATAATTGGACCCAAAAATCTGCATGAGAAAAAGATGAACGGGAAGTTGGGAGGAGGACAGAATATTAAGGCCAAATCTTTATAAACATGACTACACAGCTCAGAATGGACAACTGACTCTTTATCATGCTAATTATTCCAATGATGGGAAAGTCCCTTAATGATCTGTAACCTTCCAGAGTAAACAGATGAGTGCCAATATGAGTTGTTTCTGTGTGTGCTGTGGCAGGAGGATACCTATTGAATTCAGTTACTCTTTTCCAGTAAATGAGAAGATGCCTAAAAATGCCTAATGCTTATCTTAACAATTCTTCATGGTGTTTTTATCTAAAAGAAAACATTTGAAGAAATGAGAGAGCCATCCTATTATAACTAAGAGCTTCCCTCCTGAACATGGACACATTATTTTTTCCCTTTTCACCCTGCTATGAGACTACTCAGTTTAGTTTCTTGATTACTGATGTTGTCACTTTGGCTATAAGGTGGACTCCTTGGCTCCATGCTAAATCTGCTGTCCATATCTGAGTGAGGGGCCCAGAGTTTTGAGTGAATCCCCCCCAGGACTCTGAGGGAATCTCTGCCTCACTGGATGTGTACTGTGAACTTGGCTATCAGTCTGCCAAGAAGATGAGGCTGGGAACGCTTATAAAGTCCTTAGCACTGATATAACAATTCACATAAAAAATGGAACAGTCCCTGCTCTTAAGATGCAGATAATAAAACATTGGCCCGAAGGGACCCTTTATTGAATCAGCATGCCACTCTCACCAGCTGTGTAGCCCTGGGCAAGGCACACAGCCATACTGCATACTGCATTTATAAAATGGACATTATCATACATCACCTCCTGAAGACAAGACTAGGCAAGATGACCTTTGGAGCTCCTTTTACCACTAAAATCGAGAATTCTATTTTACAGCTTAATTATAAGAATGACTTGGAGGTGAAAGGAGGCTGGAAGCATGGCCTGACATTGCCAAGGAAATCCTTGCTTACCGATCAAGCGCTTGCTTTTCAAACCCAGAACGTCTCCTCTCAGGCTGTCTGGGAGCAAATCACAAAAACTCTTGGCGTTCATCGTTTGCCAGGAATAGAAAGGTTGACAAGGATTAGGGGATAGGAGTCCTGGGCAGGGAAATCTCCTTGAGACCTACTGCGTTTAGAACATTAGTGTTTTATGCAAAGTGGTGAGCAAGCCCCAGCCCTCCAAACCCCAACAAAAATCATCTTTCTAAATCCTTTCTCTGAGGGAAGTCTGCAAAGCCCTCCCTCCCTGTTTCTTCTTGATGAACTGATGTATCTACAGAGATGCAGCCTTTAGGTGGTTCCTGCGTACAAACATCACAGAAAGCTTTTTTTTGGCCACAGGAGGGACTGTCCTTTATCACTCTCTAGCACTGACTAGAACATCACTACAGCAAAGGGCTGCTAAGCTGACTTGAAGTCAGCCCGCACCTAAGGGCAGCGGCTGTCTCTCTCTCACTTTGAATCTTCAGTGCCTAGGACATTGCTGCCTCCACGGATGTTTGCTGAAAAAATGAGTCTTCCGACTATGAGGATTAATTAACTGGTATTCTTCTCCTGCAGGGTCTGCCGTGTCTTGTCTTGAACCCCTTATGAGCACTGCTGTGAATCACTGCATGGAGGCCCTAGCACAACTTTGGGACATAAATCAGTTTGCCTACAAGACAACCAGGTATGGCCCCGGACAGCTGGCATTCATAAATCCTGTGTGTTGGTGGCATCTGCCAGAAATGCATTGTACCTAGCATGTATGCTGTGAGTTACTGTTACTTGACATATTCCACAGGTCTGGACATCACTATGTCTGGCTGATGAATTCACTGGGTGCTACAGAGTGAGTGGCAGCAATGCTTCTGGCTGCTAGAGGCTGTCACAGTATCTCTTGGAGGGAGCTGTGATCCCTAGGGCTTCTCTCTGATCAAAGCATTCTCCAAACTGCATGGAGGAGGCAGAGGCCCTGCCTGTTCCCAGTTACCTAAAGGGGTGTTCCACCAGTGGCTTCCCTTCTGGACAACGTCCCCTTGGACCAAGTTCATGCTTGCCAGAAACCCTTCGGGTACAATATTCCTAGAAGTACTCAGTGAATTTATGTTTCCACAAGTCAAAAGAAGGGAAAGAAGTAGTATGCTTCTCACTGACCACTGTGGATGTGTGATTCTGGGTAGCTATGGCCTTTGATCAGTGAGGGTCAACGTTTGCATCTGTAGTTTCATCAACCAACAGGACCCCTTCATCCTCACGGCTCTGAGGGCTGAATCCATCCCGACTGTGCTCCCAGACATCTGGGCCCCATTTCTCACTAAAGCAAATCGACCTGCCTTTACCCTCTGCAACAGACTCCCAACTTGCTTCCCTGCCTCTGGTCTGGTCCCTCTCATCCATTCCCCTTAGGGGACTCTTTGTTGGAAGATAGATCTGATCAGTTACTTCTTTACTTCAGATCAGCCAGTGGCTCTCACCACCTTGGGATAATTTCTAAATTCTTCATTCTGGCTAATGGCCCTTGTGTGATTACTAGACCTGCTCTCAAGCCTCATTTATCACCACTGCCCACTCCTTCTAGCCAAAGGGAAAGCTCTTTCAATCTCCTGAGTGTAGCTTCTTCTTTTACCCTTGAGCCATTCTCACACAAGCTGCTCCTGGTCTTGAACACTCTCCCTCCCCCTTTTGAATTCCTTCTTGACTTTGATCTCAACCTAAAGGATATTCCATTTAGGAAAGCTTCCCTCTCACAGGGTCCTCCTATAGGACTGTGCTTCTCTTAACGATTCTTATGACACTGGCTTGCCTGGCTGTGCAGCTCACTAAGCTATAGTCACATGGTAGCAAGGTCTGAGCTTGTCTCATCTAATCATATAGCCTCAGCATCTGTCAAAGTTACTGGGCACACAGTAGGTGGTCAATTAAAATGTAACTGATTGGGTGATTCTATGCATGCATGCCAGTAATGGCAATCCAGGCTGCTGCTAATATTCTGGGAGGTAGGAGGAGCTTTCTAAGCAGCACTCACCATTACAAGTGCAGCGCACATTCCTGTAGAACCGTGGACACACAAAGCTGATGCGAGCTGTACTGTAGGTCATGAGTGCGTGGGAATCCAGGGACAAGCCCTGCTCACAGTGCTGCTCCTGACAGTCCAGCCCTGAGCAGTTCTTCTCCAGGATGGCTGAGATACGCATGACGTTCTCCAGGTGTCTCCTGGCATTGGACAGCTTCTGGATCAGGTAGGCTGGCTTGTAGAACTCACTGCTGTGCATCTCCACTGCAAACAGCATGTCCAGCTGGTTGGTGCCTGCCACAGGCTGGATGCTGATGATGTGCAGGCTGTCCTGCTTTTGGGTGAGGACTGCATTCCGCAGGGTGCGCCGGAACCCGTGCATGTGTAGCCCCACGAAGTCCTCGGGGGACACATTCTCAAAGCGGATGGTGACGGTGTTCTGTAGCATCTCATGGACCAGCTGCTCCACATGCACAACCACATCTATGGGCACCTGAAAGCGGCCGTCACTCACAGACACATTCAGGACATACTTGCCACTGTCAAGGCCTCCCAGGGCAATGATTTTCCCATCATGACTGTTGACTTTGAACAAGCTTTTCTGCTCTGATTTCAGGGCAAACGTGAGCACATCATACATATCTTGATCTGTGGCATGGATCTTCCCAATGACCCCACCAGGAAAGTCATCCTCCATGGTGACAATGAAAATTTCCAGAGGGATGGCTGTGGGCTTGTGGATACTTTCCTCGATGACCCGCACACGGATGTAGGACTGAGAGACTTGCTGGGGTTTTCCTGAGTCCTTTGCCTAAAACAACCAAAAAGGGGAAAACACAAGGAACGAAGGAAAAAAAAAACCCTAATAATTAAAAAAATAAATAGCAGACATCTGTATCTTTTACTACATTTGCTTTTTCTTCCATCTCCTGCCATGATTGTCAAAAATGCTGAGGAGGTGAATTTAAGTAACAGGAGTGATTTATCACCTTCAGTCCCCATATGTGCACCTTGCTATGGACAATAAAATGTGTCAACACAATAAAGCCACTGGAGGTGGATAGGAAAGCAGGATATGGGGTGTCACAAGTTCCAACATGCACACAACGGATTGGCTTGTTTTCATTTTGGACAGAAACCCTGGGGAAAACTCATAAAATGGCATTCTCAATTGGAGAAGGAATCTATGTTCTCTGTTGGATTCTTTCTTTTTGACTGGGCCAGATGGCACCTTTCTGCACACTTGAGAAACATTATTTCAGTGGGAATTACATCAGAGTAAGGGTTATAATAAAAATAAGGTACACCAAAGGGAAAAATAGCCAGCCCTTTAAAACCTTTTTTCCCTCTTCTTCATGTAAGAACTGATGGAACAACCACTTGGACAATAGTTTATTATTTCATACCTGCCACATACATGGAGGAGACTTTAGGGTGTGAGGATTCAGGAGAAGGACTGATTCCCATGACTGAGTCCACAGGGCATTTGTCTGAAAATCTAAGACCACACAGCCTGTACTGTGCTGGTGGGTGGGAACTGGAATGTGGAAGGCTGCAAAAGAGCAGGTGTCTGGGTATCACTCAGACCCGAGTGTGAATCTTGACTCTGCCACTCATTGCATGTCTGCCTTTGAATAAATTCCTGACCTTCTCTGAGCTTCAATTTTCGGTATATCTAACATGATTAAAACAATAGGATTGACCTCACTGGGTTCTTACATCGTGGGATTAAAAGGGGAAGAGTTATTGCAGTGTACTTAGCACAGGACAAACCGATAGAAAAACAGAATGTGATAGATCCTGTGATTGTTGCTGTTTTCCTTCTTATCATCACCACACACTTCATTTGGTAAACCAAAGATGCTGAAATAGCAAAATTAATGTAGAAGGAGATGATTTGGCAAATTAGGTTGAAGTCAAACTGTGGACAGCCTCAAAAGGACAGTGATGAATTATAGGCCAGGGATTGCCCCACTCAAATGCCAGAGGCCAGAAAGATGGCAGGAAGGAATACAGCTGCTGAGTGTTAAGTAACAGTAATGAACCTGTGCCAGAGAAAGACTGGAGGCTGATGTCTGTGCAAATACCCTGAAATCTAAAGTTTGAAAGTCTAGGGTCAGTATTCAGCCTGCAGGGCCTCTTCCAAGCCCTGGGAAGTCACAGATAATTTTAGTTTAGGGCAGGGATCGGCGAACTTTTTAAAAGGGCTAGATAATAAATATTTTAGGCTTCTTTTCAGGTTGCATGGTCTCTAATACAACCACTTCTTTCTGTGCTGACAGCACAGAAGTAGCCATAGAGCATATGAAAATGAATGAGCAAGGCTGTGCCCAAATAAAACTTTATTTATAAAGGAAAGCTGAGGGCGGGATTTGACACAGGGGCTATTGTTCGCTGATGCCTGGTTTAGGGAAATAATGGAATGACTGATCTGGAAGTGGAAGTGGTGTAGGGACAGATAAGGAGAGAATGAGGCTGAAGCCACAGGAATCATCAAGGAGGCTCCAGCAGCAATACAGTATGGGTATGGGACAAGGTAGGATAAGGAAGGGCAGTTGCAAAGGGAATACAACTGATGCACACAGGGACCTTATGAAGGAAGACAACCCAGCCTTGGTGCTGGTTTAATATGAAGGACTTGGAGGAGAGAAGCCTCTATGGAGATTCTAAACTCAAGATGATGTATCTGCTCTCCAACAAGTAGACAGAATCCTCAAAGGACTATCCTAGCTTCTGTGAGAGGGTGCTGCAAATCTCTTCTGGCAATGGAGTACCTACTTATACTGTGAAATAAAATTATTTACATAATATTGTTGGAGAAGTGGTGGCAACTGAAGTCACAGACATACTGAGAGACAGCAGTCATTAACTTATCCAAAGAGGTCATATATAGAATTCAGTGATGTACACATATAAAGAATGCTATCAGTGCCACTATGTATAATGAATCTCAGTTGACCACAGAGTAGGCAACTGTGAGCAGAAGTCATTCCATTTCATTGATGGGATCTAAATCTTGGTGTTGACAGAGTTCAAACACAGGAACTTAGGGGTATTCTCCCATTTCCTGATCTTGCCCAGCCCCTTTGCATGCCTGCCACTTTTGCCTTTTTGTCCCATTTCATTTCACACAGGCCAGTGGCCTTAAGAACTGAGATCCTCTGAGGGAGCCTTTGCCAGCTAATTCACTGGTCCGTTCCCATCTACCCAGGGGAAGGCTCACCCAGCAGAGGCCACGAAGCTAACTGTGATTAAGACACTGGGGGCCAGCTTCCCCAAGTCTGGTGAGTGGGTAAGGAATATGTGGTATAAAGCAGCAAGTGATTTATCTTTGGGGGCCTGCTAGAGCTCTAAGATCTTTAGATCACAGCTTGAAGTCCAGTGAGTATCTGCTGGGGATATTCTACAGGAACACCCTTCCCGAACAATGGTGCTTTCCTTCCTCCCTGTTCAATTACACACACATAGGCGGCTTCTATTGGTGTGAAATTGAATTTGAGATTAAAAGGGGAACATTCCTGCATGGTAATGAATTACGTTGACTTGTTCAACAAAGAGAAAACAGCCAATGGACAGAGAAGCCAGCGCAGGAGAGAAAGACAGCACAAGGCACACAGGGAAGTAGGCTGTACCTGGACACACAGCACGTATTCTGGAGACTCTGTGTGCTGGAAGACCACTGCTGAGCGCAGGACCCCGTGAGGATCCAACACAAACTCCTCCTCTTCATTTCCCGACAAAATAGAGAAGGAGAAGGGAGGCCCGTTATGAAAGGAGTCTCTGTCTGTCACCAGCAGCTGCAAGATGCTGGTGCCCACCGGCCTGTTTTCCTGCATAAAAGGGTGCAGTAAAAAGGAAGACAAAATTATCTCTCTCCTCATATCTAAAAATTCCCATCATTATGGTGGAAGTGCTCTGCTAGAACATGGCTTTCAGCTGCCTCCCCACACCTGCCCCATGAGATAGCTCTCTGTAGATGGGACTCTTGGACCTTGGGTTGAGTGGGTTTATAGATGCCAAGCACGGTGCTGGGGACTCCTTGTATTCCCTCAGGCTGCAAAGCCCTGAGTTTTCCTGAAGAGTTCTGGGAATAAATGGTGCTCACCAGCCTTTGTGCTGTGGTCAGGCCAAGGCAACATCGCCCTGTTGGGATGGAAAGGTGCTTCCTCATACCTGGCACAACACGATTCTGCTGAGACCCAATGATATCACAACATTGGACTTTTTTGGGGGCATGCTGGCAAATTCCCAGTCAATGTACAAAGGAACATTTCAGGTAGAAAATAGGGATACTATTGGAAGTTTTTTTAAAAAATTTAGTTCATTAAGCATAAACATTTGTGAAAATTTTAGATATTTAGAATTTCTTTCACTGAGAAGCTAAAACGCACTTCTAGAGGAAATTAAAGTTAAAAGAAATAAAACACTTAACCTCAGAACCAGTTTTGCTGTTTCTTTAGGAAAGGGAAAGGGAGAAGAATACTTTGCATTTTAAGAATGAAGAGAAAGTAAATCCTAAACTTCGTTTGAATCTTTGGAAGCCCTGTTGCCGTTATGTGAGCATTATTTTTCACAATCCCTCTGCGTTTTCCCAAAAATGGGAACACAAAGACTCATTGTTGTTCTCTCCTGAGTCAAAGGTTATCCTGCCTTTGAAAATGCTGTGATAAATCCTCCGTAGCTCAGGCATTGGTGTCTTTGGCCCACTCTGTTTAGACATGCGTGATTCCACAGCTCAGGCCCCAAGTCAGTTTTATTAGCTCAGCCCTTCTGAAGACATCAGCATGAGGATTAAATGGTTTGGGTCACCGAGATGGAGCTGGTGATACACTGCAGTTTGGAGGGCAGGCCCACTCCAGGTTTATGTGCTGAATTAGGCTTATGAAAACCATGTGTTGGGATAAGGAAGCCATTCCAGGTTTGGAAAAGGGAGATAGGTTTTTTTTTTTTTTTTTTTTTTTTTTTTTTTTTTTTTTTTTTTTTAAGGAGAAAGCTAAAAGGAGCTCAGTGCCCTTTTGTTCTGCTCATTCTTTCAAGTGCCCTTTTGGTCATCAAGAACTGGGCACCATCCCCTTCTGGAATCAGTCCTGGAGCTGCCTCTGCCCAGCAGAGATGTACTGTTTCACACTGACAACGTACTCAGCACCACACAAAACAGAAGATTTATTGGTTTGTTTGCTCACTCTATAAAGGCTGTTTCCTTCATCGAAGAGCAGGAGAGAGAGAGCGAGAGAGTGAGAGTCAGAGAGAGAGATTGATTGATTGAATATGTGTGCCCTCGGGGTCAGCATCTGAGAAAGAAAGGTGCAATACAACACAGACAGGCCTGGCCCCATGGAGGGGGGCCAGCCACTGCATGTGGGCTGAGGCACTCAGCTCTTTTACTTCTGGCCTCTTTTGGTGCATCTGAAAACAGCCTATCAAACTGATGCATGCATGTCATAAAACTGAACGCTGAATAGGCAAAGCCTATTTTGTCTTGGGGTGAGCACACAGAAGCACAGAGAAGCAGTAAGCACCATTGTGGGCAACAGTTGTGGAGACAGCTGAGAGAGAATGGTGGGAGATGTAGACCCTGGGGTCAAACTTTGTGGAAGTAGGAGAGCAATCAGAACACAGAGCTGCTGAAAAAAGCATCAGGAGAGGAAACTCAAACTGCCACTGGGGAAGGAACAGGCCTCCCAGCCTGATTCCTGGGCAGCTCAGTGGCATGGGGCTGGGAGGAGGGTGGCTATGGATAGCCATACTCAAAGTCTTCAGTTTATAATAAAGGGGTCTCTAAGGCCTGGGCCAGTCTCATTAACTTCTGCCCAGGCCTGGGAGTCCTTGCAGTCAATTTTGGAGCCAAATTGTATCCAGGGAGAGCTGATTTCTCTGGAATATTGGTGGTTACTCAAAATGTGTATGTCAACCTCTGTCTCCTCTAAGTCCTCCACACTGTAGTATTCCTGGTCTGGAATTCCTGACCTTCCTCAAGTTGGGCCTCCAGGTTCTAGAAATGTTGTGGAATAGAAGAAGCTCAGCACCTAGTACTGTGCTCATAAAATAGTTTCTAAAGAAAAAACTGACCAGAGGCAAAGTCATTCCCTCTGCTAGCAGATTATCAGCAGTAAGTTATTCTATCCTGCAGTCTAATTTTAAAGAGCAGGTGGATTTAAAGTGCTAAACAAATCGCTTATGGAAGATTAATTTTAATGAGTAGCAGCTCCATCCTGATGCCCAATCTCCCTTTGACTGATGAGATGGTTCATATCAATCTCCCTCCACTGCCTGAATATCACAAAAAATTGCAACCTATTATGTGGAAAAGGGAAATACAAATTTATTTCCTTCCTTCCTTCCTTTCTCCCTCCCTCCCTCCCTCCCTCCCTTCCTTCCTTCCTTTGCTTCCTCCTCCTCCTCTTTGCAGAAGACAGACAAAGATTCAAATCCTGACTCTGCCACTCAGTAGCTGCATGATCTTGCATGAACTACTTAATATCACAGACCCTCAACTCCTTCAAGTATAAGGTGGAGCAAACCCACCATTCCTCATTATGGCATTGTTTTGGCAACAAAAGTTATGCATAAAGCACCCAGTACTGGAAATAACCCAACCATAATGGCTCTTCATCAATGTTGATTACTCAGCGTGTTAGAAAAATCAGGCTCTTTTAATACCTGTCCTAGGATGAGATAAGTTAACAGTGAATGATAGTAACAATAAGCCATAATGAATAAACCAAAAGCACAGGAAGAAAGCTAAATGCATTAGGACAAGTATCTAGCAGGGACGATCTGCTTACCTGAATCACAGCAGTATAGTTAGCAGGTGTAAATACTGGGCTGTTGTCATTCACATCAGAAATATCAATGTTGACAGTTGCAGTTGATGACATTGCAGGAAAGCCACTGTCTACCGCCTGGACCAGCAGGGAGTATCCTGACACCTGCCAAGGCAGAGAGGTCACTGTAGAGAAGTGTGGCACTTCTCCCTTCCGTGCACACCGAAAGGAACTATAGGCTAACATGGTGCCTTTCTCCAGACCATGGTTTCTCAACCTTGTACTAGTGTCATTTGGGGCAGGGTAATTCTTTGTTGTTGGGGGCTGATCTGTGCATTGTAGGATACTTAGCAGCTTCCCTGACTTAGTCAAGCAGCAGTCAGTATCATCTTCTGCCCTTCCAAACACTGCCTAAGTCTCCTGGGGTACAAAACCACTCCCCAAGTAGAATGATGACTATGGGTCTCTGTTCAACAGTTTTCTTGCTAATCTGTTTTATTTATCAGTACCAGTATTTCTGAAGTTTGGGGGATATGTTGTGCAGTAGAGTTTATCTCTTCTTAGCATCACTACAATGATACACTTTTCCATACTTTTGGTTAATAAAGACAATATTTAGAGACTTAGTTTAACTTTTGACAGAGACATTTTCTGGATTATTCTGTTTGATCTACATACTTTCCAGTAATCCTTTTGTTCCTGCTTACCCAGGGCTAAAGTTACTCATGAACCCAAGACTCTAGAATTCCAACACTGAAAGAAATCTGCTTCCTTGTTTTGGGGGAGATAGAAATTCAAACATCCAGAAAGATCTATATTTGCCTTTCCTTTCAAGTCTGCATAAGTAAGAAATTGCCAGCATCTATTCTTGGCAGAAAGTTCTTTCAAAGTCTGACCCAGATACTTCACATTGCATTCGAGGCCATGCCTGCTTACTCTAATTATTTAGAATGGAGAACCTGAGAATTACACTCATGGGGCCCATGCCCCGGTTTCCAGTGAAGGCGTAGGTGTGGGCGAGAAGGGAGCTGGTCTAAAGGGGCTTACCCGTTCCCGGTCTAACTTCTTCTTAACCTTCACAAGGCCCAAGACAGGATCCACAGCAAACTCACTGTCCCGATCTCCACTCACAATGGAAAAATGAATCTGTCCATTGGGCTGGCTGTCTACATCTTCTGCTATTAGCTTCATGGAAAACAAGCAAAAAAGAAAAGACACGATGTGAGAGGGAATTGGGCATGTGAGAGGGAAATGGGCATGGCCATGAAAGTTTTCTCAGGGGCTCTGTTCACCAATGGCAGTGATGATGTCCCCAGTGGCACAGTTGATGGGCTGACTGAAGAGAGGCAGCACTAGGACAAGAACCCCCCTTTTATTTCTACGTTAATTTTTAACTGTCTATGGCCTGATGCTGTAACTAGGATAAAAGGCAATGCTAACTGATAAAGATGCATTCCTGATTCTATTCCAAATCTGCAAACAATGGTTTCTACCACTGAGTCAGGCATTCTCTAAACCTATGCATTTACATATTAGGGAAGCCACACAGCAAACATGATGGTAATGTTAGAATTTAAATAGACAGAGTGTTGCACTGCTTGGGAAGGAGAGAAGTTCCAGGGAGTCCACATCTGATAGATAAAAATTGCATTGTTGACATTAGAGGGCTGTAGCCACAGGCCACCTGATGCTGCAGAAACTGGCCATGAGAGGAGTTGGATGGAAGAGAGCTGCCCACCCTAGGGATGGCAAAGATGGGCCTTAATTGTTTGCAAAATGTAATGTGTGGTTTAATTAAATCTGAGTCCTCAGAACACATGGCATGTTTTCCTCCCAGAAAGCTCCTACAAGAGTGGCAATCCACTTAACACTTGCTCCCATTCATACCTGTTCCACTTTGTGTGTTGACGAGGGAAATGGAAGTTTATTTATTCTTAGCCGACTAATAACTTTCTTGCTGTAAACTGATAAATTAGTTACATATGTATATTTATGGGCTACAGAGTCATGTTATGATTTATGAATATAATGTAGAATAATTAAATCAAGCTGATTAACATATCCATCACCCACATATTGTTTTTGTGATGAGCTCATTTTAAATCTACTCTTCTAGTGATTTTGAAATGCACAGTACACTATTATTAACAATATTCATTCACTGTGCTTGCAACTGATCTAAAAAAAAAACCCTATAGAACCTTCTTCCTTCTAGCCATCCAATAACTTACCATCTAAGTTCCCAAACTAGTAGGAACCGTCATTGGAAGTTCATTCCATAGGCAGTTTTGCTTCCTCAAAATATTTGCATTCCTGGGAGAAAAGTGATTATCAGTCTGTTTTACCATATCAGTTTATCTACCTGACTCATTCTAGGGTAGAAATTGGAGAAGGGGCCGTTGGAAGATGAGTTCCTAACGAGCATTCTTGGGACACATGGGCATTGAAAGGGCCAAGTGTGAAGAAAGTCCTGGGTAGACTTGGCTTCCTTCTTTACTCTGTTGAGAGTGACAGCTCACAGACATTTAGTTACCTCCCAGCACCTACCAAAATGACAGAGTCTCCCACCAAGGCATCTTCACTGATGACAGCACTGTAGACATCTTGGCTGAACTGGGGAGCATTATCATTCACATCTGTGAGGTTGATGCTGACAGTGGCCGCGGCGCTGAGAGCTGGGGTGCCTCCATCTTTGGCTTCTACCACAAGGTAAAACCTTTTACATACTTCATAGTCCAGGACTTCAGAGACAGAAATGCTCCCTTTGAAGAAAAATGGGGGGCTTCATTTGATTAGGAAAAACACTGGTCAGTCATTTCATAATTGCGGCAATATTTATAACATCATCTCTAGCCAAGGGATTTTAGGTATTCAGGAGTTTGTTTATTTAATGCTGTACTGAAAGCATTCTAGAAGTGTGATTAATGTTGTCAGTTAAAGCACAACTATCCATCAAATATAACACTGAAGAAATGAAGTTTTTTTTTTTTTTTTTTCGTAACCATTTCTGTATATCTCTCAAGCAGCTGGAAAGCATCTGGTATTTTTCACTTTAATGTACCTAGGAAGTAGTGATGAGGGATGGTACCAACCACCATTCCTTCATAAGTATCTCCTGATTCTTATGTGTACCCAGAAAGTTCGAGAATGGGCTGTAGGGAGAGGGCTGTGACGGTGTGACCCTGCTCCTTTTCAGCAAGTAAATACTTGCAGACTTAACTGAACTGAATTAACACAAAGATGCCTTGCCAAGTTACAATGCACTATCTAAAACTATTAAGGTACAAAGAGGGCAAAGATTTCAGAACCTCAAGGTATAATGACATAATGAAAAAGGAAAACTATTTGGGAATCTGACAGCCCAGTGGCCAAATATTAAGTGCGTATTTAGTGTCCACAACTATAGAACAGATATTATAATGCCTATGTCATGGAGTTGCTTGAATTATGCCAGCAGAATAAGTGAAATCTGCTAGCTGGGTGCCCCTTCTAAGAGAAACTCATTGAGTACTATTGCCTTGCCATCCTAACCCTTTCTAGTGATGCAAGCCAATTTTGCGTTCTACAACCTGTAGCTGGCGATTTTGCTGCCTGCAGAATAGTCCTCAAGCCTGTACATTTTTCTCTCACCCAAAAAACAATCATTAGGACATGTGGGAAGGTCATGTTCACTCATGGCTTCAGAAAGAGAACTTCCCTAGTCGCTAAGACTGTTAATAGGCTATTAAGGTGAGAAACAAAGTCAGACCTGTAAGGAGAGCCTCTTTCTTCCCATTTACCACTCCCCATCCCAAGTGCCTTATTGTGTATCCAAGTCTTATTGTCCAGTGCTAAATTTAAGTAATACTTAACCATTTTCTCATGGTTTTCATAAACAACAGTCATAACTAGACAGGCTCAGGCTAACACATACTTAAATGAGGGATATCTCTACACATTTTAATTTCATGTAATGACCTTAACCACAGTTATTGCTGAGAGAAGCACCAATGCAATTCCTCCATCAATGTTTGCACCTTCCTAAATCTAAGAGTGAGACTATATCTTCTGCATTTTTTTTTGTATTCTCTGAGCACTGCAGTGTTATAGAGGGTATCGAGGTTGGGGCATCATTGCTAAGTCAGGAAGATCTGAATTCAGATCCTGGATAATTCACTTCTAACGGTGGACATTGTCAAAGTTATTGAACCTCCCTGAAGCTCTGTTTTTCTCATTTGGAAAATGTGAGATATACTTTATGATTTACTAGGAACCTGGGTCATTTGCAGTGCTGAATGTTGCTAATTATGGTAGTTTTTAATAAACATCATCCAAATATCATCACAAAGGACAGAGTCTCCTTGCCACTTGCTCCACAGGTGCATGTGTCCTCCACGATGAGGAAAAGATGTTCAAAGGCAAGGAGATCCGTAGAGTGGTAACTGCCTGGACTAGTCATAAGAGAGTCGGTAAATGAGTGAGAATATCCACAAAAAAGGCTTGCCTAGTAATGGAAATCTAATCACTCCATGACAACACAAGAGTGAGTATGTTTACTCTTCATACAATATACAAATCTGTTTTCTGAATTATCATTTTATACCCAAAGAGCCTCATGAACTCACTGATGAAGAGCAAGCCTGAATGTTCTCTTTTTCTTCTGTCCCCCCCCCCCCCACCGGTACTTCTCCCCTAGGTAATGCTCATATTTCCCCACAGCCTGAAAAGACTGGTGAAAAATGGCTGTGTTCTAACCTGACATCATGAGCAGAGTCCAACACAGCACCAGACTGATAAGAGTCCTCTCAGCGTTCTGGGTTGGGGACTCCTGCTTGCCACTGTGTACGTCCCTGATCAATGACTGCCCTGCCCAGTGACCAGAGTAGATATCTATGTGTGGACAGTAGCCACTGGATGTTCATCTCCAGAAGAATTTCTCAACAAATGTGCACAGGATCTGAGCACACATCCATGCACACACACATATACAACAGAAAAAGCAAAACAAATAAACCCCTTGTGCTCGAAATGCAAATACTATTTCAACTCCCCACTGGGGAACCACATTGCTGCCCTCTAATCCAGAGAACCTGGAGCCAACTTGGAGTGTAAGAATTTTCCAAGTGACCCAACAGTTAGGAGCTTGATGTTCTGCAGGGGTCTCCCTTACAGAAACGTGGAGGGCACTATGGGGTCTGCTCATCAGCTCTGCTACTAAAACATTTGTTTCTACTGTGAGTGAGGAAGAAGGAGAACAAAGAGGCCATCACAAAAGCTATTGAGAGCATTAGGGAAATAAGCAGCACAGAGTAAAGTCCTGAATTCCCAGTCTGTTATATTTACCCACCTGTCTTTGGGTTGATTCTAAATTTCCCCTGTTCATTCCCAGACCGAATGAGATACGTTATCTCAGCATTTGTGCCAATATCTTTGCTGGTGGCAAAAACAGCCAGGACTTGGGTGCCAGGGGATGTGTCCTCAGGCACTGTTACCAGGTAGTCCCTTCTCTCAAACACAGGTGGGTTGTCATTTATGTCGAGGACGGTGATGGTGACAGTGGCGAGAGAGGACAGGGACTGTCCTGGACTCTGGTCGGTGGCCCGCACACTGATGTTGTAGGAAGATTGCTGCTCTCGGTCCAGCGGCTGTTCCAGGATAATGATGCCAGATGTGCCATCAATGGAGAAGAATCCATTAGCAGAGTCTGCTAAGGAATACACAACCTTCCTGTTGATACCTGTGGAGACAACACAAGAAGGTGAACAGGTAAGAATGACCACCACTCTACCCTGAAATATTAGGGCTGTGCTGAATTGTGAAGGGCCACATAATATACAACTAAATTAAAAGGTAAAGAAATTGAGGGGCTGGCACTGTGGCTCACATGGCTAATCCTCCACCTATGGCGCCGGCATCCCATATGGGCACCGAGTTCTATTCCTGGTTGCTCCTCTTCCAGTCCAGCTCTCTGCTGTGGTCTGGGAGGGCAGTGGAGGATGGCTGAAGTGCTTGGGCCCTGCACCTGCATGGGAGACCAGGAGGAGGCACCTGGCTCCTGGCTTCGGATTGGCATAGCGCCAGCCATGGTGGCCATTTGGGGAGTGAACCAACAGAAGGAAGACCTTTTTCTCTCTCTCTCTCTCACTGTCTATAACTCTAATAAAAAAAAAAAAAGAAATTGAGAAAATATTGACATCAAGTATCAGAAACAGTCAGGTATTCTTAATATATAGCCCCTGCACACACATACACACAAATCTTTTAAGAAAAATTCTCAGATGTTGATAGGTGAGTAAAGATGTGTTGCAGAAACAGAAATTAATTAGTAACTACATCAAAACGTATTGACGTAGAATCTACCAGGCAGGAATAATTGTAGGTGACAGAGGTTCTGAGCTCGGTGTTTCTTCAAGATTCTGTTCTAACCTTGTGAGGTTGTTGTGTTGAGGTTGAAGACACTGGATGGCTCTGAGAGAGTGATGGGATGTAGCTTAAATTTTAATGGGAGCCATCCAGCTGCATGTTGTGAACAAACTGAAGGGCAGCCAGTGAGGAAGCAAGCAGCACAGGAGTAGTTTCCTGTAGGAACACAGACATGCAATAGTGGTGACCTGAACAAGATGGCAGTGTTGGAAGTGGTGAGAAAGGATTGGGTTCCAGAGCTATTCTGAGTACACAGGTGTGAAAACTGAGGGGCCCTGGATGTGTTCGGAACTTGGAGGTGTGAGAAAAGAATGTTTTCATGTTGCAGACCTGGCAGGATGTGGGATGTGAGAGAAAGAGAGGATTCAGGAGATGTTTCAGTTCTGGCCGGAGCAACTGGAAAGAAGGAGTTATCCTTAGCTGAACTAGAAAGCTGCAGGAAGACTAGGTTGTGGAGGAAAGACCAGAAGCTTCATTTTAGATGAATTTAAGTTTGAGATCAGCTTTTGAATTTCCATGGAGATGTCAAGTAAGAAGTTAGAGAAGCTGGAGTTCAAAGGCAAGCCCAAGCTGGAGCTGTAAATTGGAGGGTCATCCACATACAGACAGCTTACACAGACAGTAGTACAGAGGGAAGAGGGAAAAGATAAAGCCATGAGCCAGTAAGCTAGAGTAAGCCAGTAAGCCAGGAAGTAAGAGGACCTACTGCAAGAGTACTCTGCTGCTCTACTATCTCAAGCCATGCCCTTTGTTACCAAAATATCATTTCATCTTAGTGTTAAAAATATTGTAGTTAAAATACCAGCCAGGCAATGTCCATCAGCAACCAACAAATTGGTGAATGCTGATTGGATCCACTTCTGGCTCTGAAGATTGATTTAATTATCTTTACTAGTGATCTCAGCACTTTAAAATGGTTTCTAAAGGGCCGGCACATCACTCACTAGGCTAATCCTCTGCCTACAGCGCTGGCACACCGGGTTCTAGTCCTGGTTGGGGTGCCGGTTCTGTCCCAGTTGCTCCTCTTCCAGTCCAGCTCTCTGCTGTGGCCCGGGAAGGCAGTGGAGGATGGCCCAAGTGCTTGGGCCCTGCACCTGCATGGAAGACCAGGAGGAAGCACCTGGCTCCTGGCTTCGGATCAGCACAGTGCACTGGCCGTAGCGGCCATTTGAGGGGTGAACCAATGGAAGGAAGACCTTTCTCTGTCTCTCTCACTGTCTAACTCTGCCTTTCAAAAAAAATGGTTTCTAAAGTTCAATTAGGCTAGGGGAAAACAATAGCAAAAAAGTGGAGGAAGTGCATTCCTGGGGAGAGCTGGAGAGACATCTGCAGTGGAACTTCTACAGAATGAGGAGGGACACCTTGATCAGTGTGGAAGGTGCAGACATGCAGCAGCACTGAGCATGGACACAACACAGGACCCCGACCGTGGAGAGCTGGAGGAAGCTCCCGCTTTGGGGAGTGAGGTGAGGACAGTGCAGCCCATGCCACTGGTGATAAGCAGAGGGAGAGCCTGGCAGGGTACATTGTCTTTGAGTCCAGCCTGGAGACCAAATTTGGGGGGAGGGGCAGGATACCCACATAACTCAGTGAAAAAAAAGGGCATGTTTCTCTCTCTGCATCCCCTGACAACATCACCCAGCAAACAGCTGGGAGAGGGTGCCATTGTGTTATCAGTAGCAGCTGTGGCAGCTCTTGCGGGCATGCCCGAAAATAAGCAGGGAGAAGGCACCATTCTGACATCAGTAGTGGCTGCAGTGGCTCTTCTGCATGTGTATGATCCAGGATTTCTACCAGAGGATACTTTGAGCCTGGCTGGGAGGATTGAAATGGGGCTGGGCACCCGTGTAGGACAGTGAAGTGCCCCAGCCTCTCAACAAATCACAAGCTTCATGGCTCAAACCGCCAAAGTGGAGCTTACACAGGTGGCTAGCTCTGGGAACGTTTCTATCTCTCTGTGGATGGGACAGGCTAGCCGGGTACAGGGGATCCTCTATATCCTATGACTGTGGGAGTCTTGTGTGCTGAACTGTGGGAAGTCTGTGACTGCGTGATAGGAAGCAGGGTGTAGCTGGGTCTCTGGGCAGTCACTGTGTGCGGCACCACACATTCAGAGCTCCCTGACTGTCTGGGTTGGGTCACTGCAGCAGGATCTGTGCTCACACTGAGTACTGCACAGATCTTCTGTGCAGTTCATGCAGCATGGTTGAGTGTAGCGCCCACTTTGGGCTAACCTCAGGCATTGATCAACTTGGGAGAGAGGAGGTGAGGGTGTGATTATGCCAACAAAGGTGAACAGACCCCTCCTCTTGCTGAAAAGAAGAGATCTACCATGCCCAACTTGAGTGTCACCCTGGATACTTAATCCACCCTGGGGAGCTCCCTGGCCACACCCAACACATGCCTCTGGGTATTCTCTGAAAGAACAGACATTCCACTAAGTCACAGAGGCATATTTCAAAGGTAAAAGCCATCAGAGGAGAAAGCCAAGTATTTCCATAAATGCCTAAAAATAAACAAAAATTTATTTATTATTATTTATTATTCAGAAATTCAAGAAACAAGAACAAGGAAGAAAACAGGACTCCCCCAAGGAAGCACAAAACACTTCAATATTAGGATGTGAAGATGATAAGTTTGATCAAATATCTGGAATGGAATTTAAAAAATTAATCAGGATTACTGAGAAGCAAAGAGAAGCAAATTCACAAGTTAAAGAAATCCATATATAACATAGAAGAAAAATTCTCCCATAAGATTGAGATTTTGAAGAGAAATAAAATGGAAATATTAGAAATGAATAATTCAATGTCAAATATATATACTGGAAATCCCCAACAACAGACATGGTGAGGCATAAGAAAGAATATCCAGGTAGAAGACACATCTATGGAAATTTCTCAGACCAAAAAAAGAGTTTAGAAAAATTTTGAAAAGTTGGAGATTTATGGGATACTATCAAACAACCCAACATATGGGTCTTAGGAGTTCCTGAAGGTGTCAATAGAGAGAATGGGTTAGAAGGCCTATTTGGTGAAATAAAAAAAATTTCCCTAATTTGGAGAAAGAAAGGGATGTCCAAATGCAGGAGGCACACAGAACTCCTAATAGACATGACCAGAAAAGACCTTCACCATGACACATTGTAGTCAAACTTTAAACAGTAAAACATAAAAATTCTAAAATGTGTATGAGAGAAATGCCAGATTACTTTCAGACCCTCAGCTTACTTTGCATCAAACCCTATAGGCTAGGAGAGAATGGAGAGACACAGTCCAAGTCTTAAAAGAAAAAAACTATCATCTCTATGATTAAAATTAAAAAATATTAAAGAAAGAAATAGAAGAAGACACAAAAATGGAAAAATCTTGCATGTTTTTGGATTGGAAGAATTAACATCATAAAAATGTCCCATTATACAATTTACAGATTCAATGCTATCCCCATCAAAATACCAATGACATCATTCTCAGATATAGAAAAAATATGTTAATAGAAATATGGAAATACAAGAGAACCAGAATAGTTAAAGCAATCTTATACAATAAAAACAAAGCTGGAGGCATCACAATACCAGATTTGAAGACATACTACAGGGCAGTTATAATCAAAACAACCTGGTACTGGCACAAAAATAGACAAGTAGACAAATGGAACAGAATAGAAACTCCAGAAATCAATCCATACATCTATAACCAACTATTCTTTGACAAAGGAGCTAACATCAATCCCCAGAGAAAGGACAGTTTCTTCAACAAATAGTGCTGGGAAATGGGATGCAAAAGAATTAAACAAGACCCCTACCTTACACCTTACACAAAAATCAACTCCAAAGGCTCCAGGATCTAAATTTATGACCCAATACCATCAAATTAACTGAGGAAAACACTGGGGAAACTCTGCAAGACATTGACATAGGCAAAGACTTCTTGGAAAGACCCTAGAAGCACAGGCAATCAAAGCCAAAATGCAGAAATGGGATTACATTGATCTGTAAAGCTTCTGCACTGCAAATGAAGCACTCAGCAAAGTGAAGAGACAACCAACAGAATGGGAGAAAATACTGCAAATTATGAAACTGATACAGGATTGATATCCAGATTCTATGAACAGCTCAAGAAACAATAACAAAATAATAAATCCAGTTAAGAAATGCACAAAGGGCTTGAACAGAAATTTTTCAAAAGAGGAATTTCAGATAGCCAACAGACACATGAAAGAATGCTCAGGATCACTAGCCATAAAAGAAATGCAAATCAAAACCACAATGAGGTTTTACCTCATCCCAGTTAGAATGGCTCTCATACAGAAATC